TATATATATATATATATTGGATCCTTATTATTATTTATTTTATTTATTGTGTAATGCCCTTCATGTTTATTTAATCAATTTGATTAATAATTTTCCTAATAGTTAATAAATTACTAAAAGCTACAATAGATATACATTTATGATACAAAATATTATATTTCTAACAAAAAAAATTATATTTTTAATTGAAAAAATTGTATAGGTAGCAAGAAAGATATAAACTTGCCAAATCTCCTACTATGGTTCCAATGCTATGTTTTATTAAAGTAAAAAGTTGTTCATTTTTTAAGACCTGTCAAAAGTTATTTTATACTTTGAGTTAAACCAAAAAAAGAAAATAACTTAAAAAGAGTAAGAATGTATCTCCTTTTTCATTTGTTTATAAGATTAAACCCAAAACCTTAAAAATTAACTCTTACCAGTCAAAATCAACAACTTTCTAGAAAATGTTTCGGTGATGACTAATATTGAAAAATAATACAATTTATCTGATACTAATATTCTTAATTAGTCTGTAGTTTTACAGTATCAAAATAAACAGATAAAAAAAATATATAAATAAATAAATAAAAAGTTCCTTCAACCAAGCGCAGTTTGGATTGGACACCCTTCCTCAACTAAATGAAGAACACTTAAGTGGGGCTAACTGCAATCTTTTGGGTTCATTCCGTTCTTTTGGTCCACCAAAGGGTTGGGCTTCTTTTTCTTAGCCCAATCCCAGATTTTAAAAAATAATCCAACAGCCTAGTACAGGTGGTCCGAACATTTCATACGGCAGAAAGGATCTCGTTCATTTGTCGACCAAAACACAATAAAAAGAAAGTATCTCATTCCATTCCATTCCAATATGAAAATGGGTTATATTACCATCACACAGCAAGCATTAGTCTTTTACAATCAGTGTTAACAACTCAAAAGTGAAAAAGATTCACTTGTTCGGTGACTCAACCAGTGTTAACAACTTTTGGTAACAATGGTAACTGTATTGAGTTGTTGTAAATAATGGTGAGAGAAACACTTAGTTTTGAATTATTTGTGAGAAATAATAAATTTTATAGAGATTTCTTTTAAGATTTAAGGAATCAATAGGACATAAATCGAGTTTAACATGATTGATAAAATGCTAATATTAGGTTCCGTTCAATTTTAAGGTTATAAGGCGTTTTTGGGTTTATGTCTCAAAGCACGTGCACCAAGTAAATTCCATTGTCTAATTTAGATCAAAAAATAGAAAAAATCTAAAGATGACCGAGTCTTGAGAAACATTAAACACAAAGAACACATACAAAGATAAAGAAATCAAACTTTATTAACAACACAACTCAGAGGATCAATGACTTTATTGAAATTCACTTAACCATAATAAAAGAGAGTTTAGATAGACATAAAGAAAAATTAAACAAAAGCACAAAAAGAGAAGAGGAAAAGGAGAATCTTGTATATCCTTAAAGAGATGTGAGTTTTTATTATTTTTCGTCATTTTTGTATGCCTATAGCTTCTCGTAAGATGATAAAAGATGAAAGTAAAAAAAAATGCCCATTCCTTTTTCACTAATTCTTTTTAATCGTGAGTTAGACATCCATTCCAACTCGAAGAGAAAAGACCCCAATGCTTTCTTGTTTTTTTAAAAAAATACTCATGCGTTTAAAATTACTCTTTTGTTCTTAATTTCTTGATAAATTAGAACCTTGGTTTTTCTTCTTTTATTACTTAAAATTCAAATATCAAAATAGAAGAACATAGATAAAATTTCTAATTGAATCTAACAGGAAATAAATAAACAATATCTTTTACTTTAATAATTAAAAATTCATCATCTTGAAAATGGATGGAGTTATATAAGAATTAGTTGGGTGTTTGTTCTTCATTCTCACTATGCACAAAAGAATAAGTCCTACATAATTGGTAGACTGTTGGCTACGAATCTCCTGATTAATTTGTATTGTATATCATTCTCTAGTTGGGAGTAAGTTGCATCAGTCATTTTATAGCACAAGATTCCAAATCACTTACTGGAAACATTTATCATTCATTCACAAACGCACAGCTGTCCAATAAAAAATTTGCTACCCGAATAGTCCTTGTAGAAAACTTCTTGGTGGAAGCAAATTTTAGTTCTTTACAGTAAAAGTGAGCAGATTCCATTCTCAAACAACAATAAATAAGTGTAGGATAACTCAAAATGTCATCTAATGACTTAAAAATAAGTGTGTGAGCAACTATGATTAATCCAGTAAATAAAGTGGGGATTGCGCAGAGGCTTGTTTCATGATTCACACAATCACGTTGCTAGTTGGCGGGGAAAGAGGTCAAACCACCTATTCATCTCAACATCAAATTGATGATGAAGTGTACATGATGTACTAAGGACTGTGAAGCATTAAATAATAGGTTACAAACGAAGAGGACAAAGGAATCAAATAGAGTAATGAAGCATGGTCCCAATTAATCTTCCCTGACTAAAGAAGAGAAATCATTTTAAGGTCATATTGTTTCATTCGGTGTATGCCACATAAATAGGAAGACGAAAATTAGACCTTAATCCAGCAAGTACAGCTGGACGGATGGACAAGAAGCACAAACACATTATAGACCTGAGGGGACCTCGTTTTCATGTTACATAAAAAGGAAACACCAAGAAAATGATTTCAAAAAAAGTTGGTAACTTTGTTTTCACCTATGCTTCAAATGTAACACTAAAATTTTGAGCCAAATGTAATGATAGATTGGTGAGCCAAATATTAGGAGCAGTCTCCATCATTTGACTTCTCTGAGCACATTAGCTACTGCCTATGTGCCACAGAAACTCAACTCTTAAAATTCTAGTCAGATAAACAATCTAAGAATTCCTTTCCCTAC